TTGCTGGTAAAACGCTGAGTGATATTAGATGGGTGGCGTTAACAGGCGTCTGGGGTTATTCAGATTGAGGGGAAGAACTAGATAGATCGGAAAGAAGTTTTTCCAAATGGGTGCCCAAGACCTTAGGGCACGGCATACTTCGCAGTTGCCCACACCGACGAAGGGGTTTTTCTTTGGGAACCCTAACCGGAGCCTTTGACTCAAAAGTCTGGCCCACAAGACAGTGGGATTGTAAATCCAACGCGGGAGCGCGAACGAGGCACCCGTGTGGGGGCTTCTGGAGACCTGCCACGCAATGCCTTTTGAAATTCNTTGTTCGCTGGTGCGTTGATTATCGGTCCGCTTTTCGGGATCGGCCCTTAGCCTCATGCACCCAATGAGACAAGCGGAACGTGGAGGGGACAGCACCTTATTGAGCGGGGGCTGCCCAGCTTGGGTGGGCGGTAGCTGTTCAATGAAGTGCGAAGACTTCTCCCACCGTCGAGAAGAAGCTCCAGGTACCCCGCTCCTACGTCCAGCTAGCGGGGTTTTTTTGACCGAACTGCCCCTCACCGTGTTTATTTGCTGGATTGGCCTCTCCAGGGGCGGGTGTGGATAGATGAAGGAGGCCAGGAGGTGCCCAATCAGCTGGCCTTGTGAGACTGATCTTTGTCTGGCTTCTACCCGTTGACCTTTTAGGCATGATTGGATCTACGGCTGTGAAAAGCCTGGAACAGCCACTGCAAATAAGTCGCGCTGCGGTAAACCACCGCCGGACATATGCAAAACGTGGCCTAACCAACGGAGATCAATTCGATGCGATAGCGAGTTCTTGTTCGATGCATTCTCGACGATTTATTTCCAAATTACTAACCCGCTCACTCCATCCCCCTCGAGCCAGACTTCGTAAGTATCGATAATCGAAAACCACTAGGCGATGGAGAATAGAGATTGAAAGCGACAATCTTTAGAAAGACTCAAAGAACTAATACTTTCCAATCGATTATTTACTTCATCGGAATTCACGAGATGACCTTTTAGAGGTCACAAATATACCCTTTATCACAAAATCATCAACATCTGACCACATGTATTTGTAAAATCGAGCAACAATCCACTGTATTGCAGCTAAAACGAAATTACGAACGGGAAAACTGCATTGTAAAAAATAACACTTGAATACTTCAAAAACTCAGCAGGCAATAACAAACAGCATTTCCTATATGCTGTGTAATTTGGCGCTTATATGAACAATGGTACCATTCAGACATATGGAAAAGAGGCTTACTTGTGGTACACTCGTCGACCGAGCAAAATTCACTCCACCGACGGAGGCACCAATGACCGATTTGTTCAGCCCACCGGGATCCGGTGTGACTGGAGCCAGGGTGCCCGAGCTAACCGAAGGTGATACATCGTACTTTTGGATCTGTAACACGTATGCATCCGCCGTGGGAACGGAGCCCCATGTCACCTCCAAACTCTGTGTTCCTGCTCGAACCAACTGGACTCGGGTGGGTGCCGGGGGACGGTCAGTCTCCAAAAACCAAAGATCTTTAAAGCACACCTTTGGTAAGTGTCAAGAAGAAGAGATAAACAAAGAACAATTAGCAGAGAGGGGGGACCAGATGATGATTCACGAGATGTATGGTACACAGCAGAGGAGAACCTAACAGTTTGCTGCGAAATGGGAACCTAACCCCGGGAGTTCATGATGAAGCATTACGGCTGGATATGATACGATATAGTACCAACCGAGAGAACTTTCAGCTATCAAGGTGAACTGACAGTGAAGGGGTTTGAATAAAGATCACTCGGAAAAGTGCACCACTGTTGGAGACCGATATCAAGTTTAGAGCAAGAGTTTAAAAGGTTAATTGTCTTCAGTTCTCCTGATGTTCGTGTCTTTGGTACATCACAACAAGACAAATAAGAACAGCTATGCGAATCATCAATTTAGAAAACAAACATGACTTTCAATGAAGTATTTTTGCATTGCTATCTTATGGGTGGGTTGCACATGAAATACCCTATGGGTTTTAATTCGGAAATACAGTGATGGAATAGAGAATACAAAATTATTAGGATTTCATGTAATAAAATTTTGGTTCGAAACGAGCTGCTCGACTGAATTTAGGCTGACCAAATGAGTCCGAGATTGTACCGCTAGCAGAATGAGTGCCGAAGAAATAAAGAGGTGAAAGTGGCGCGCTGGTTTAGTCGCTGTCACCGGCGTGCTTTAACCCCTATGGTTTGGGGTTCGAGCCCCACCACCGCTATTCAACTTTGGTGGTGGGCAGCATTGCTGTCGTCCGGCTCAATGCCATGCCTAACCAAGAGGGGCCTCATGTGGTTCACTACTCTAAGTCCCAGGGCTTAGATTACCGGTTTCACTCAATGAACAGTACGTTTTCGTTACTATGGGGTTCGCCCCGTCTGCTGATCATCACACTAAAACTGTAATAGAAAAAAATCGAGTATAACAAAAAACCCAGAGAAACATCTTAAGAAAACCATTGCGCCGCGATGGAATAAAAATGATCCAACGGCACCAACGACCAGTGTCCTTCTGCAGCAAGATCCAATACATGCTAGAAAGTAAAACAGGAACCACCAAGAACGCTTGTCTCACGCAAACGATGAAATGAATTCGATGATTGATAGGGAAGTACTGAAACGAAACTGGTGCATCGCATTGTGGGAGCTAGAAATTACTGCATTCTATGACTCCACCATCCTTATCGATCAAGCCCATGAAGGCCTACATGTGCGTTGGGTTATGGAATAAACAAAGCCTATTTTAACTTGATCTGAACAATCCTGTAGTATAAAAATATTATAACACACAACGACCAGTTCACACTGTTTGTTCGTGGTGCTAACATACTGGCATATAGATGGATAAACGGATACCGAAATCACTGAGCACAACTGTTGCAATTGACTTGACAAAAATCAACAGATTTAAATTACTCCTCCCCTCTATCCAATCTGGAACTCAGATGCAAAGAATAAGAGTGAATCGCAAACGCAATCCGCTAGAATTGTTTGCGCTGGTCATTAAATAATGTATAACGACACTGAACATTCCAACTCACTAGGTTCAATAAAATGAGATGCTAATCCGCGGCAATTTTTCTTCTGGTTGTCTATTGAACTTTATGAAAGTCAATGAATACAACCCGGTCCAATCGGCACAGAAGAACAAATCAAGGATTTTAAACCAGTGAAACTATTTCATCATTATTCGTACATAATTGTCTTCATTATGGGGAGTGAGTTACCGTCAAACTACTTTGAACAATCTTAGGACAAAATGTGATAGGGAGCAGTTTCTTCCGCCAAATGACGTTTGTCATGTGATTACACATCACCATTTCATATACTTGAAATAGCTTTACATGCAAACCGTGATGCTGCATAGTCTATAGGCTGAGAATACAATCAACAGTTTGCATGAGAAGAAACGAAAAACGAAGACGTACTATCTTCCACAGAAAGAATCTGAGGACAAACCTGATTATTCCATGCTTTCCGATAGCCATCTCGACCAGACCAGATGTACAGGCGAGTGTGCACAGCTACGGCACAGTGTCCAGCTCGGGCTCTGGGTACTAGACTTTCGTCAAATACTTCCATGGCCAAAGGTTCCCAGTTCATTGTGTCCAGATTCAAACTGGCCAAAGTGTTGGTGCATTTCCATTCCTTTTCCTGTGTGGTCATTTTTATCTCTTCCATCACCAATGGTACCCAGCCACCGAAGACAAACATGCTGAAATCCGACACGTGTAACAATAGGACAAGTGAGAATATGTATACATGAGCGGTTTATAACGTGGACCAAACAGATAATAGTCTGTAAACTAAATTAGCACTTCATTTACATGACAATAACCGAGACACATTTCCGAGATTTGAACATGTATTTACCCATCTGTGGTGTACCTAATTTGTATCTCCAAGACAAAACGATATCAAGGATGAGTAATAAGCAACAGATAACCGGTTGCTAGATGTCAAATCGTCAAGAAATTGAATTCATCGAACTACAAAACACGAAAAATGAAACGAGCGGATAGCGCTGACAGAAAAACAACTAGGACTTTCATGCTCCATCGGGTTTGTTCACCTTTTTACAGGGTCACTGGAGATCAGTTTGCATCAAAAAGCCTAAAATCTAACTTCAAGTACTATGTAAACTTGAATGATGGGTAAAACCACCAGGAAAATACCGCGATAGGAAAACCTTGATGATACTGGGTAGTATCAAACAAAAGGAGATGAAGACCGCGACCCAAACGAATGCGCCGAGGGTAACGTTACCGGTTGCACAAACCTAAACTTGAACGATATGGAACGCCCACACAAATCTACCATTACAAGTGACGGGCATGGGTTTAACCGTGAGGGAGAAACCTTCAATGGTACAAAGAACAAAATAAAAATCGCACTGTGACATGAAAACGATCAGCAGCAATAACGAGTGTTAAGCTTTGAAATAATCTACCCTCAAAACCGAAATCTCACGCCGTTTAAGGCTTGCTCCAACGTGTGTTGAGAATGACTGTACAGCTGCTGCCGCTAAGCGTTCTGCTTGGAAGAAAGGCTGCGGAGACCAGCCCAAGACGTGGCGAAGTGGAATGAAGGACCTATCAGAAATTGTCATGCGTAGTGTCGACTTCTACAACGGGGTGCAATCCCGAGTAGGTATGGCTGGAAACCCATGGCCCATAACCGGGTTTCGAGATAGAGCTGTTTAATCTTTCTAACCTAACAAAAAAGCTACAAATGGCATACGACAAATGGCACAAAAAACTTTGATTGTGTTGACCTGACAGTTCTTTCATTCTAAACCCCATGTACATACTTATTTCTATCATCATTTATTAACACTTTGTAGCATGCTTCGATTGGCACACCGTCTGAAACAAGACCAGTGTGGTGTATATATAATCACAATAGCTACCTTTTGTCTGTGCTTCCCGATGGCAAAATAAACAGATTCGATAAACATCTAATAGTCTGGCAGTTCTGGTGTACGACGAGGATGTGTCGCAATATGAACTTGGCTACAAACTTCACAAATGACCCCAGTTGGTGAGAACAAAACCAAGTCAGACGTACAGCAACAACAGAGATTGTGCTGTACTAAACAAAATACGATTTCACAAAGAGCATTTCTAAGAAGCACTTCAAACAGTAATCGTATTCCGAAGACATTGACAGAAAGAGATTGAAAGATGTGACGAGTATAACAGACGTGAAATCGCAAACAAGAGTATAATGAACAGTTGATCAATGATTATGAAAACAACTACATACCGATTTCCGATCACTGTTGCACTGTGCAAACTCCGCGGAGCAGGAGGATCGCCAGTTACAACCGGTTTCACCCAAGTCATTGTGTCGATTTCCAATTGCCACAAGTCGCCCAATCGATTACCTGACATACCGCCATAAACGAGTAATCGCCATTTCTTTACCATTCCATCCAACACCTGATAAGCTACAGCAGTGTGTGATTCACGTGGAGAAGGGGGTTGTCCGTAGGTGATGGGTATGTCCCAACACATGGCCGACGAATTGGGTTTCAGTTCCAGAGTATAAAGATCATTCAAATATCTACCAAAATTCGAAAAAAACTATTTAATGGTCCATATACATCTGTGTAATGCTATTGGAGAACATGAACGGAAATTCCTCTGACAAGTGGTACTATCATGAATCAAACCATGGAGCATACTCAAATAAACCGCAGTTACCCTTGAAAATTGTCACCGTGGTTCATGAATAAGTGGAGCCTGTCATTCAACCCACGAAAAGCCTTGAGGATTGAGAAAACTGGTACGTAGCTAAGGAAATGGAAGCATCCGCTTCAAGGAACAGTTGAAAGCAGTTGCCGCTGATACGCAGTGGCGGAACTAGGCCATTGAAACAATGAGCGATGTAAATAAGCAGGTTATTCGTTGAACAGAGCACGCTTGTGAAGTATTCAGCTACCCCAGGGCTAGACAGGTTAATACAGGGGTTTCAACTGAAGCTTCTTGGGTTCTCGCATGACGGTCTCGTAATTAGGTAATGAAGAGGAGAAAGGTAGTCAGACCTGATGAACCTCTTTATTTTTATCATTGTTTTAATGCACCATATCTGATCAGAGGAGCTATGCACGTAGTACTGAAACATGTACTGTGTCGACGTGACGTTTCCATAAAACTATCACGATTATGTATACTGTCACTGTTGGTTTAGCTCTGTTTTGCAGTTTTGAGACCCTTAGTTTGTGTGACACATTCATCAACTGGAAGTTTTTAATTATCAATGTTCGCGTAGTTAGGTGCGATTAGAATAGAGCAAGCGGATAAAATTGAGGTAAGCCGTCATATATTCAGGTACGTTTCGGTCAGTGGATTCAGATTAGTGGGTTTCGCTGCTCAAAACACGTATTGCCCATCTGTCGTCTGTTGTTGCAGCTCGGGGACGTAGAAAAATAAGTAGACGTTAACAGATGATGTAGAAATGAAGCACAAAGAAGGAACAATAATTGGGTGAAGTAGATTTCTCTCGCCTTCCCGAGTCTAAAAAGACTAAGTAGTTGGTTGGAGACACTGAGTGACATGTCAGCAAACCGACTGTAGTGGGCTTCTTGTTGTCACTTCTTATCAGATCAGAATGTTTGAAACGCTGTGGATGCAAAATTTAACTACGAACTTGCAAGCCAGTGATAAATAAGAAAGACAGCTGCACAGAGCTCCTAGGGCATGAGGAAAACCATGTGATGCCCAAATTACCCGTGCGCCTATTAAGCATTATGAAAGCGAAAAATAACAATTTCCAGAAAGGTTAAGCTGATTTCGCGTTTTTTCTTGTAGTCCAAAGGCTTAAACATCTCTACACATGAATGCGCCGAATGAAGTATTTAAACACATTGGTTTTGGTGGATTCCGATTCTCCAGCACAGCTTTCCTTTTCAACAGGACATTCAGTAGTTTATCGAACACAACCAGTGAGAAGCCAGTGAGAATAAAGTGGTGGAAGACAGATCGTGAATAATTACGAATTTATGAGCACCTCACGCAGATGATTAACAAACTGCATAGCACACACCGGTTCCACCGTTCGCCGGGATAAACGATTCTTAACAAACAGATGGCACTGTCGCTAAGAATGCGGAACTTAGTTGTGCATCACTTGTTCTTATTTATTTACATTTACACATCAATAGAGCTACAAAAATCAAACTATCGATTCGATCAACAATGTGATTAATTGCGTTACACACCATTTG